ATAGAACCCAGCTCTTGTGACTCACAGTTATATGGACCAAAATACTTTTCAAAGGAGAATAGGATGGTGTGCTGTGCTAAAATCCTTCCTTTTTTCTCCCCGCAGTTGTTCAGACATGTTTGTTTCTGTCAGGTGTGACAGACCCAGACTAGCTGGCTGCCGCACGCTAATGGAGGGAAGACATGCTGGGGTTTGGGTGAACTGCTTTCTTTTAGCTGAATAAAGGAAATCCCAAAACCTAACTGCAGCAAAATCAGGCAGGCACCTGTGTCAATTAGAACTTACTAGAAGTCATAGGCTGATTAGACACCTGCAGCAAATTAAGGCCTGTGGTGCCATCTTAAAAGAGCGAAGGACAGGAAGTGTGTGCAGGAGCTGTGTGGGTGTGAGTGGAGAACTAGTGAGCAGGTACCAAAGGAAAGGTGCTGGGAAGGATTGTTTGGGGAAATGGCCCAGAGAAAAGCTGCCAGATTGAGGGTGGCAGTAACCCTGCCTCTTGCCGCTGCCTTAGGGTCCCTGGGCTGGAACCTGGAGTAGCGGGTAGGCCTGGGTTCCCCCCAGCCTCTGACCACAGCTCAACCTCTGCCTCAAGAATGGAGATCAGGACTCCAGAGGGGATTTTACCCCAAACGTATGAACTAGTCTGCGATGAGTCTGGCTTAGTAGGCTGTGGCTCCTGCCTCTAGTAGAGAGAAAGAGGCTGTGTGGAGGACCATGGCAAGCCTCTGAGGCTAATGCTATCTACCAGTAGTGCAAGACCCCCGGGAAATAGCTGGAGCTTTGCTACATAGGATAATGCCAGTGCATATGTATGTTTTTCTGTCTGGGTTGGAAGTGATTGCTCTTAGTGCATTTTTCGTTTTTAAAGATAAGCTGAGAGAGATGCAGTTGAATTTAAAACCATGGAACTACATCAATTTACATCAGTTTAGAATGTTCCATTTGTTTGCTTGTGTTACTTTGACTATTAACATTGAAACAATTGTAAACATTCATTAACATTTTGACTACTTGCTTATATTGTGCATTTGTATCCATTGGGAGTATTGCATTAACTAGGGGATGTGCTAGAGAACATAGTTTAACAGTCAAGCTACAAGCCTGGGCTCATTGGTTAACCTTCACGAGTACATGCAATACTTGCCCCTCCCAGCATCACGGGGGTGGGGAGGAGAGCAGGGAGCAGCTTTTAAGCTTGGCTAAACACCGGCTCCCAGTATGTGCAAGGAACTGGCTTAAAAGCCAGCTCCCAGGGAGCTGCCGGCTCCCAGGGAGCCACCTGCCCCCCTGAGATGTTACCTCTATATTATTTGTATATATATATA